CCCCCCCCCCCCCCCATCCCCTCCTCCCCTTTTCTCTCCTCTTCACAGTACCAACCAACCTATACTAACAAACTAATCCCAGGAAACCGCCTCCACAACCCTAATCCTACACACAAACCTCTTCTCACACAAAACCCTCGACCTCACCCTCCACCCCACCGAAACCAACATGTCCTTCCTGGACCCGATCAGCGGCTCCTGGGCCTCCATCTCCGGCACGGCCACCATCGTGGCGGACCCCGCCACCGTCGAGAAATATTACTCGCCGGCGTTGAGGGCCTGGTTGGGCGATCTGGGCGATGGCGTGCATGATGGCGGGCCGGGGGATCCGCGCATCGGGGTGATTAAGTTGGAGGCGAAGACGGCGGTGTATGCGGTTGCGAGGAAGGGGGTGTTGGGACGGGCGGTGGAGACGGTCAAGAGTGTCGCGAGTGGGAATGTGCCGGCGGTGAATGAGATTAGGGAGTTGGGGAGGGGGGAGTTGGATGAGTGTGAGTTCTTATCCCCTTACCCCTTTGGATTGGACTTTGGTGGAGGGTGGGTGTAGGGTGATGGTACTGACGGGTTATAGGGCGGAGGACACATGCGTGAGGTGTTCACGCACTGAAATACTGAGTGCTGGCTGGTGTACTATGTGGAATGAGTTATGACGAATTGGGGAACATCTTTATTAGCTGGGATTAATCTACATGCATCGCCATGTTCATCCCCAAATATATCAATCAAATAAATTATCCATATCAATCAATCACTCCATACTCCATCGTAGTCGTAATTGGGGTATCAAACAACGCCAGTACCAAACCATCAAATCTAAAACAGTGTCAGTATCCAGCAGCGAAAGCAGCGAGGCAGCGCCACTTACCAATCGTAAAGGCATCCGCGCCGGCAACCGTCCATTATGCAGCAGCATCGCAATGTTCTTGTTCGGGGTCGCCTGCAGCTTGCGATACGCCTCGCGGATGTGTCGCGGCTCCACAGGCGTACGGCCCTCTTCAGGCGGATCGAAGAGACCGGTCTCGCGCTTGCGTTTCTTGATGCTCTCGCCGTTTTCCGCTCCGCCACGACGGTTCTTCTCTCGGTCCTCTCGCTCTTTGACCTTGAGGGCCTCCTCGGTCAGGGTCTGCACGATTTCAAAGGTCAAGAATCCTAAAATGTCGACAATGTCATCGTTCGGCTTGGACTCGGTCACAATGCCAAACCCCGCCCACTCGCGGAAGCGTTTACTCTTGCGGTACGTAAACGACGCCTGACGACATTCCGACCAGAACACATACTCCTCCTTGGTCATGTTCTTGGTGCGTTCGTCCGCGGCAGCCAGGCGCTGGAGCGTAGCGTAGTTCTGTTCTTCTTCCTCTTCGTCCTCTTCGTCTTCTCTCTCGGGAACCTGAACCGAGTAGAAGCTGTTCACATCCCACGCGAGACCTACCCGGGCCCGCTTGTTCTTCGGTTTCGAGGCGACATCCTGCGGTCCCGCAACTACACCCCCGGCGATGGGGTCATCGGCGGCGGCAAAATCCGCGGCATCAGCGCCGCCCTTGTCGTCGGAATCTTTGACGTTCTTGCGGACATCCTTCCAGGACAAGAAGGTCTTGAGACGGGACACCTTGGCCTTGTCATGGCGGATGAGAAAGATCAAGTCATCAGTAGAAATGGACCGCACGCCGCGACGGGTCGCCAGGGCGGTGCTTCGCGCGAGCTGAAGATATTAGCGGAATCCACCAACTGGAAACGGGGGGCATACAATTTCAACGACCTGCTGGCGGACAATCTCTTCAATTAAAGTGGTGGTATCCACGGATGGCTCGGCAGTTTCTCCAGAGACGAACATCATCTGGTGCAAAAGGTCAGTCAGCATGTCTTGGAACATGTCCTCAGTCTGCGTGTTAGGCTCCTCAGTCTCCGCATCCTGGGGCTGCTGCTCGCTATGGGTAGTGGGGTTGTATGTCTCTTCCATCGGCTCGTTCTCGGACTCAACCAAAGTCATGGCTTCATCGTAAGGTTCAGATTCCATGTTGAGACGCCTCAGCGGGCAGCCACAGGATGCATCGCATCGAAGTCGAACCGTGTTCAAGTAATTGCAGTAAGAGAAACCCAGAAGAACAAGCTAAGAGAAGAAGATCACATCATGCATATACACATGTATATAGAACACCCTGCATTCACTGTCAAGCGCAACACGGGTCCATAGTGATGCGACATCATCGCCAGTGACAGCAAGATATGAAAGTAATGATTTTCATATAGAATATACCAGAACAACAGAGACAGCACAAAGCACAAAGTAGAACCATAACAGCATCAGCTTACCTGCTGGATCTCCTGCCGATACTTGGGGGTTCGATCGGTAGACATACTGGCAGTTAACACCAATCGAGCAGTTCCACTGCGGAGAAACGAGTGAAGCCCAGGAAGACCCGGAGTGCGGTCTAACACAAACAACACAGAAACCTGTGACAATGTATATGGGATGGGGATAATGCGAATGAACACTGGACGCCGCTCTACACGTGAAACCAGTCACCTGACCCCTCAGGGCATTCGGAGTACTAGTTGATCCGGCCCGTTCTCCGCCGCCGCATTTGGTGGGGGATCTTGAAAGTTTCCCTCCCAAGTGGGAGCCACTATATTGACACACCTTTAATTGCGCATCACCATGTTGTACCTTGTGGGACTCGGCCTTGCCGACGAGACTGACATCACCGTCCGCGGCCTGGAGGTGGTCAAGAAGGCCGAACGGGTCTACCTTGAAGCATACACCGCGATTCTCCTCGTGGACAAGGAGAAACTAGTGAGTGTCGCCCGGCGCTTGACTTCTCTCCCCTACGTGCGGATCTGGCTGACTGGAATGATGGTTTAGTAGGAAGCTTTCTATGGACGTCCTGTTATCGAGGCAGACCGTGAGAAGGTCGAGAGCGGCAGCGATGAGATTCTCGCCGACGCCGACAAGGTGGATGTTGCCTTTCTGGTCGTTGGTGACCCATTCGGGTATGCTTATGCCTTATGCTTCTACTGTTCTCCGTGAAAGAACACCATGCTAACCGATCAGCGCCACAACACACACCGATCTAGTCCTCCGCGCCCGCGAATTGGGTATCGAATCCAAGGTCATCCCCAACGCCTCCATCATGTCCGGCATCGGCTGCACGGGTCTGCAGTTGTACAACTTTGGCCAGACGGTTAGCATGGTGTTCTTCACGGAGAACTGGAAGCCCTCGTCTTATTACGACCGGGTCAAGGAGAACGTTCAGCTGGGTCTGCACACGCTGGTGCTGTTGGATATTAAAGTCAAAGAGCCGTCGTACGAGAACATGGCTCGGGGACGGTTGGTCTACGAGCCTCCCCGTTTCATGACTGTCGCGCAGTGTGCGAGTCAGATGCTGGAGACTGAGGAGGAGCGCCAGGAGGGGGTTTGGGGACCGGACAGTCTGGCCGTCGGCGCGGCCCGTGTGGGAGCGGCGGACCAGAAGCTGGTGGCGGGTACCCTGAAGGAGCTGGCGGAGGTGGACATGGGACGGCCTCTGCACAGTCTGGTGCTGATTGGCAAGAGAGCGCACGACCTGGAGAAGGACTACATCCAGCAATTTGCCGTGGACCGGGCCACCTTTGATGCCAACTGGCAGAAGGGCGGATACGGGAGCATGTAAGCTGTTGCGAGGAAACGACCAACGAGATAGAATTCATACGCCAAATGACATGCTAATGAACCATGCAACCGAACACCAAGCCTTGCCATAGCCAATACGCTGTAAATTCCCTCATGCCGTCCTCCTCGCAAACAACCTCGTCAAGCGTTCCGGCAGTCGCATCTACACAATTAGCCAAACCGCAACACCAGAAATCAAGGAAAAGAAGATAATAAACCCACCGTAGCAGAAGAAGGCGTCTCGGGCGGCGTCTGCGTCCTATCACTCGCATAATCCGCATCCCGATCCCGATCGCCATCCTCATAATAATACTCCCCCTCCTCATCCTCATCATAACTCCCCTCCCCATCCTCCTCCTCCTCCACCGGAAACCACCTCTCCGGATCGCCATTATAAACAATCCACCACCCGATCCTCTCCCCGGCCGCATACTTATCCCTCAACTCCGTAATCGCCTCCATCGCCTCCTTCCCCAACGGCTCCTCCTGAAAAATATCCTCCGGCTTCCAACTCGTCTCCCCAATACCACCACCTCCCCCTTCTCCCTCCTCCCCTGCAGCACTCCCCCCCTCCGGAATCGAAATGACCTTCGCCCCGACATACGCAAACGGCTTACTCACCGCCTGATCAGACGTATCCTGGGGATCATATTGTTCAATGAAGCGGAGGGAGTTGGGGAGGCGGGAGAGGATCTCGGGATCGGTTTTCTGAAAACAGTTGAGCAGGAGGGAGGTCGTGAGTGGTTGTTGGATGTATTCGGCGGTTGCGTCTTCCAGGTTGTGTAGCACGATGTAGACTCGGATGCCGGTGAAGCCGGCGCGCGGCCAGCGGAAGCCGTAGAGCATGTAGACCGGCATTTTCTTTTTTTTCTGTCTGGGTCTTTTTTTGGTGGTGGTGATTGAGGGGGTGGGTTGGGTAGGTGAATGTCTGGGGGGCGTGGGTGTGTGAAGTAGGTGTTGTTGGTGGTGGTGGTGGTGGTGGTTAGTGGTGGTAGTGCTGGGTCATATCGTAATTCGGTGTTGCTGCTGGGATTGTGATTCTGTCTGACTCTCGAAAGAAAAGGAAGGAAAGAAAGGGGGAAATAGGGACTAAGTAAGAGGTGTAGATATTCTGGGGTACGGGATAGGATAGATAATATGCAGGGGCGGAGCGAAAGCGACAAAAGAGATGATATGTGCAGGGTTCCGTGATACGAGGGTCGTTCTTTGTTTGACTATCCCGTGGACAGACTGTCTACCTGATTAAGTACCCATCGCTATTCAATATCATGCATGCATATATATACATATATATCAAAATACATACACATATACACAACCAAATAGCAATGAACAAGATCATCTCTGAACTGGAATCATCCCCGCATCCCATGTCGAGCATCGATCTGATCGGTCAAAGTCAATTGGTGGCCGCTCAACGGTCAAAAGCGGTCGGGACGGGCAGTATCGAGTCGAGACTCGGCGGCAATGCCGCGGAGACATCCATTCTGGTGCTGAGTCCGCTCATTGACCTCTCTATCTCGCCCTGCTATTTGGGAACTGTTGTATGCAGACAGCATGGTTCTCTCATTTGTCATTGTTCAGAATCGTCAGTAAGTTGATCCCCCCCCCTTTTCCCTCTCCGATATATCCAGTCCGTGCAAGGAATACCCCTAATGCCGGAACAGGGGGAAGACGCGGCTTGCGAAATGGTATGCGCCGTATAGTGTGAGTTTCATGTCTATCTACCTTGGTGTCTTTGGACGACTGTCTAATATGTTGTATGTTAGGATGAGGAAAAAGTCAAGCTAAAGGGCGAGGTTCGTCCCATCGACTACACCCCGCATCGCAGACAGTAATAATAATCATCGTCAGGTCCATCGACTGGTCGCCCCCCGAGATCAAAAGTATCAATCGAACTTCGTCGAGTTCAAGCGCAGTACCAAAATCGTTTACCGGAGATATGCGGGGTTGTTCTTCTGCGCGTGCGTCGACGCCACCGATAACGAACTGGCCTACCTAGAGGCCATCCATTTCTTTGTCGAGGTGTTGGATCAGTTCTTTGGCAACGTGTGTGAGCTGGATTTGGTATTTAATTTCTACAAGGTGAGTGGTGCTTTGGTGCTTCTGATGTGGCGGGTATACGAGGGGGAACAGGAATGACGACTGATGTATACAGGTATACGCGATTCTGGATGAGGTATTCCTGGCAGGCGAGATTGAAGAGACCAGCAAGCAGGTGGTGTTGACGCGGTTGGAACACTTGGATAAGTTGGAGTGATTGGGTTCTTGGGATTGGTCCCTGGATGGAGAAGGGCATGGCCCGGTGGAATTGCATACATGGCCACGGATATGGTCATCATAGGAGTTAGGGATTTGGGCGGATCTTCAGATCCGAGCGTGTATATATTTATTATCGCTTCGTTGGTTGCCATTTTGTCTCGGCTCGCGATTGTTAATACCCTTTGCAAGACATCGTCCCCAATCAGTCTCGATTCGTTAGTATGGATTAAGAACCATGCAAGGCGCTTAATGAATGTATTTATAGCCGTTCCAGGTCGTGCAGGGTCGCCCAGGGTTCTCTTCTCAGGGTCCAGGTGTGACTGTTGGTGGCTGCCTACTGCAACAGCCGAATTTGACTGCCGTGATACTGCCAGCGGAGCACCCGAGACATCGCTGACACCCATCCACTCAACTCGCAGCACGCAACGGCCACCCAACAATGCATTTAAGCTTATTTCTGGTTGCAGAACTAGTGAATCCGCCCGGTTCCAACGATGGAATGGTGGATGACATCGACCAAGAGGGTTGTCTATAATCGGTACCATTCATTGCCTGGGTCGACATCTCACGCGGAGATGAGGTGATCGTGGGCAGCGATGGCGAGCCTGCCAACAACGATGGTGACAGCACTGACAGCACCTCTTGGCAATGCATACTTAAGGGGACTCACCCGGAGCTGATTCCTCGCTTGCTTTTTCTCTGCTTGATGCCAAACTGCACCACCACCCTGCGCTATCATGTTCACCTAGGATGGCTAGCTGGACTCTGGCCAAATTCCCACTTCGGAGCCGCGTCGCCTTCCAAGCCCTGAAACCCGACAAGCCCCGACACCGGATCAGTGAGCTGCAACAGGTTGAGAGCCTGCCGTCCGATCCCGATACACCACCCATACAGAGGGTAACAAGGTCGTCCGTATCACCGCTGTTTCGAACCGTTCAACTCCTCCCAGCCGCTCATCTGGTGATAATCCCGCACCGGCTCGTGCGCCGTAGCAAAAACCGGAATCTGCTGGCTGATCCTCATCAGACTGAACAGCATCCACCGGTCGCTTAGCGATCTTCCGTCCTTGAGATCAACCGCCGTGACAAGTTGATAACCATACCTTACGTATCATGATTTTGGTCGAGCGCCTGCATTCACGGAGATTTGGGGATGGGCATTCCATGGGTCCGCAACCCCACGTCGGGCGGCTCGCCAGTGGGAACGGCCTCTGACGGGGCCTGGATGATGGGGCTTACGACGCTTCATTTATCGACCGGTCGTCTGATTGATTGATAGGAGGCGGATCCATGCCCCAGATGACTATCAGTCGGGCTTTTGGTCTATCGATCATCCCATCTCCGACATCAATCCTTAACTTTTGTTAGGGATGCGGGGTTTGAAAAGGGGAAAGAATAACAGGGAGAGGAAGGAAAATAGGAACACCAGGAAACAGGAACTGGCGACAAGTTCATACGATTGCAACTCAGGAGGACAGACCCAGACCGCAGACCGCATTCGAGACTCTTCTGGCTTGCGGAGAGGCGGCCAACGGGTCACTAGTGTTGTCCACTTTCACGGGGACATGACTAGTAGATAGTGCCAAGGCGCCGTGCTGGAAGTCGTCGGGTAAGGCGAGTTTCATCATTTCATGGCTCGGCCGTAAGAGCCAAGAGGAGACAAGTGAGTGCGTGGGATTAACTTGCACTTCGTGCGCGTAACCAGTGGACTCGCGGTGGGAATCCGAGATGGACTGATCAACTCGACCTTGCCTTTTTGGTTCCATATGAACCTTTGCTAGCGGGCTGACGCCGTTAGTTGCTGAGCCACCGACATACGTCACGCAGGCTGTACAGTCTTCAGGTTACTCCGTATACAGTTGAGGTCTTGAGGAGACCAGTTGGAAGGACAGGCGTCGCATCGCATGCTAGGTGCAACTCATGACACCTTTGATACTATGTAAATACTGATGAAGCAGTTGGAGATGCCATTTGCCTGACATGCCATGGCGGATAACTTTAGATTGCCTATACTGAGGGAATAGCGTGCCCACCAAGCAAGCCATACTCCACATGGAGAACTGGTTGTCCACAGTCAGGGGAATGATAGAATCCCACGGGTGGCGGAGCGGGGAGTATTACTCCATGCACTACGGAATAATCATGGTATGCAATCGAGGATCATTCCAGACATGTGTGCCCTGAAGCCATCACTGCACCATTGGCAATTGGTCCAAAGCACGATGATGAGGCTGGAGCGAGTTCCACGCGGACGACGACGTGGAAATGTGCAGCCGCCACCAGATGGCAAAAACCGCTCAAGCTTCAAGCTTGTTCCACAGTGGAACACAGACGCGGGTCGGTGCCAGGGCATCCGCACGGCAAGTGTGGACAACCCATGCTGTGTCGGGCACTGGGCTCGACTCTCAAACCGCAAGCGGACTCCTGGATTACTTCCCTGGGATGTCCGAAACCTGTCCACTGCGAGAATTGCCCAGACCGTGCTTGAACAGTGTATATAACGAAGACTTTTCAGTCTATACAGGAGTAGATCTTTCAATGGCTCCACAGCGAGGACGAACAGTAAACCTCATGAAGTTGAACGGGGATGAGGGTCCTATCCCGTGCGCTTTGCTGGGATGGATTGGATGTGAGTGACCGCTTTGACATTAGACAGAAGTTTAATAGAATGAAACCACCAATCCTGTAGTTGATGCGACAGAGGACTAAGAACTGTAATCTGTAACAGATGTCAAGGATATCCTTTGTGCCATCTCATAGATCTAGTTCTCGCCCTGGGCGTCCCTGAGCGGTCTGATTAGATTGCAACTCATTTCCTTGATGATCTGGAACTCTGTCTCGTTGCACCAGACATCATCGTAGCCTCTGAGCTGTGTAGAGAGAGAGGGTGGTGAAGAGTCGTTAGAATTAGATGCTGTTGGAGACAACTAGGATGGGGACTAGCCGGTTCGGGATAGCTGCACGGGAAGGACGACTAAGCAGTGTCGGCCAAGCAGTAATGCCACCGCCAGCATCGTAATCTACACGCCACCACCAAGTATACAGTGTGGTCGGGAGGAGGAATCCATGGATGCATTCCACATCCAAAGCATATCGTGGGTACACTACGACGCGAAATCGCAGAGATTTCGACCCTTGCCGAGTACACCGCAGCGGAATGCAGGGGCAGTCCTCGTACATTGACTCGATACTATGTCCTCCGTATCTGTACATGGTATAGTCTCATCTGTACTGTGTACTCACGTAATGAACAGACCCTGAGTTGTGGAGATGGAAGACGTTTCAGGCCTCGTTTGTCTGCATTGGGAAGCGGAAACCAAGCTGGAACCGTCAAGCCAAGGCCATTGTCGTTCTTCAGGTTGGAGATTGAAAGCGTCCTTCCCCTTTCGCGATGCCCCAACCCCGTGGCGTGGGTGGCTTTACATTAGCCCGGGCGGGGAGTGGCACTTATCTACATGATTAGTTGATTCCCTCGTCGTACCAGCGGTGACGGAGAAATGTACGCGTCGTCTATTGTGGTCCACGGCCAATCAACGGCGGGCCGGGCACGGTTCGACAGTTCAGCCTATGAAGACCAGATCCAATGCCAGAGAATCCAGAAGCTCAACGATCGCCCGGCGAAACACAGGCCTACGCGGCCGATCCCTGGGAGCAGCGACAGCGAGGCTTGGCAGGTCTCCATCCTCCACTTCTGCTGCTGTTCCTCTGTTCCATCTTTGCTTCGGCTGCTGCCCCGCCGCCGCCCTGGCCTCCTCCTGCGGTCGACAACGGACAATCAGGAGACGGCACCGCGGCTACGTTCCCTGAATCCCCTCGCCTCCTCTCGCTTGTGACTGGCCCAGCACCTCGGGTTCCCCTTGGCGAAATGCGTGGAAACATGCGTCCTCCCTCCAGCCAGTGGAAGAGGAGGGGGCAATCCACCCCCTGACTATCGTTCTGGCTTTCGGGTGGACGTCAGCCGGTGACGTCTAGTATTATGGTTCCCCGTGCAGGGTTTCTTTTTTTGGGTGTCCAATTCGACGTGACCTGTTATACTTCGTACCCAAGTCCCGTGCAATGCCACTGGCACAATACAATGGTCATCGATGTCATTGCAACGAAGAATGTCGAGAACGTGGGCGACCCGGCGGGTCTCCGCCGGGGGAAAGAAGGGATGGAGTGATGGCGAGAGGGGAAATGCAGGAGGACAACAATCATCACTCAAGTCACCGAAAGGGAAACAAAAATGGAAGAATGGAATTGAGAAAAAAAAAAAAAAAATAAAAAAAAAAAAAAATGGGGAAGGAAAAAAAGAAAAGGTATAACCGCGCCGTTTCAGAAGTACTACTCGTTCCCTTATTTTTTTGGAGATCCAAAGACCATCCATCCAGCCAGACCAACCCAGATTTTTCCCCAGTTGCCACTTCTTGTCATCCACTACGGAACAATTATCGAATTAATTACTCTTTCGGCGCCAGTTTGCCAAGGTGCTTTGGCTAGTGGGATCTTAGCCTGACCTGCCCATCGGGACTAGCCAACTACGGCCGGCCTGGGTTATCTACGACTCCATCACCTTGATTGCTCTGGATCTTCCCCGGGCTCCTTTTAATCTCTGCAACGCCAGCTTCCAGTCCTTCTTTTCTACTCTCTCTTCATCATCTTCCCTCTCTGTCTGGTCCGGCACCTGCTCCTTTCTTTCCGACCAGCGTCCCTTGCAGTTCGACCTCCAGTACTATAACCAAGCGAACCCCCGGTAGTTGGTTTAAGTTCGCACTCTACTCAACCACCAAGTAATACGACACAACTCTACCACCATGTCCCTCATCCACGCCGACAACCTGGCTCCTCAGCCATGGACCGATGTCTTCACTGATGATACCTGTATCGACCGCCGCAAGTGCCACCGTACCGTGCCCATGAAGGTGCTGGCTCTCGGTGTGGGAAGAACCGGAACTGCTTGTAGGTTCTATTATGGAGACAGACGTCTGAGCGCGTGACTAACTGGTTTCTAAACAGCCCTCCGCATCGCCCTGGAACGCCTGGGCTACATGAAAACCTACCACATGATGTCCGCCAGTATGGAGAACCCTCCCGACTGCTTGATGTGGCACGACGCCCTGGCGGCCAAGTACGACGGTGTGGGAGAGTTCGGTAGAAAGGAGTGGGATCAGCTCCTGGGAGATTGTCAGGTAAGCCGTCTTTACTATCGCTCACTCACAAGAAATCGCCAGCTGACTTGAAATAGGCCGTTTGTGACTGGCCTGCTTGTGCCTTCGCCAAAGAGCTCATCGAGGCCTACCCCAACGCCAAGGTCATTCTGACGACCCGTGATGTGGACTCATGGCATGCGTAGGTTTTCCCACCCGTTTGTGTTGCCGCGACGTCAGTCTAACGTTCTGCAGGTCCGTCATGAAGACTGTCTGGTGGCGTGTCTCCGACCCTGAGCACAAGCTCGTTTCGAACTTCAGCTGGGCCGCCAGCATGTACTACCCCATGCTCAACAAGTTCTTCCAGACCTTCTTCCGCGGCGACTTTCCCAACAAGGGTAAGCAGGTCTACCTCGACCACGTTGAAGAGATCCGCAGCCTGGTTCCTCCCGAGCGACTGCTCGAGTACAAGATCCACGAAGGGTGGGGCCCGCTTTGCGAGTTCCTGGGCGAGGAGGTTCCCGACACTCCTTTCCCCCGCGGGAACGACATGGCCGACTTCTTCAAGCGCTGCCGCGGCCGCAACAGGCGCCAGATGCTGAACGCCGCCCTGCAGGCTGTCACCATGGGTGGTGCTCTGCTTGCCACTGGGTTGGTTGCTACCATGGCCTTCAAGCGCTTCTCCCGGTAGATGCGCTTGTGTCGTGACCTGCCCTTGTTTTTGTTACTATTATTACCGCAGCATGCGCTGGGCGCCAATGCTGGGGGCGTTGCTCTATTTGGCTTTAATTATTCCCAAAACTGCTTTCTCTTGCTGATATATACCGATGAGCGTACCACCCTGATGTGGGGTGGGTAATACCGATGTTTTGCTATTTCCTTATCTCTTGCTGGATTTTGCTGTACGGCTTACGGTGGGGGGTTTCTTGGCTGTGTTTATTAGACTTACACCTGGCTGGATTGCTGTTGCCTGGCGCGGATGGAGTCGACGAGAGATGAATCTACATTACTTGGCCTATTAGCACCTTGGTCTAGTGTCTTGTGTTCTTGGCCGTATTTAGTATTGTGTCGTATGTACGGCCGTCTCGGCATGTCACCAGCAGTCCGACATCCGCCTTGGCCTGCATGGGAAGAGTCGCCCTACAAGGCCATGGCGGTCGCGGGCTTTGCTTGGCGTGGCCTCGCAGCGGGTGTATCTTCTCCGTCCGCTGTCGCTATTCCAGCGTCATCCTGTGGGAGGCTGGCTACCGAGACTGGCGGTAGCGCCCATACCGTAGATCTATTGACTAGCTGCATGCATCTCGTGCAGTGGTTGGCGGGAAATTTACCAGGGACACTGGCCACACTGTACAACATCGACCGCTGGCGACAACCACCGGCCAATCCGGACTGTGCAATAGCACGTGGAGCATCACCCGATGACATAAGGAAAGGCCCGGGCGATGCAAGTCATGCCTCTGAAAATTGAGCGGTTACTACTTCCGCCCAACCTGATCTTTGAGGCGAAAAGGGCACGCCTAAGAATAGAGTTCCGCTGATACAGCCAAGATTCATACTCCAGGGGGTATGAGCGGAGCGCTTATGGAACGATGCTGATACGATGCTACTATAACTATATTAGGGAGATGATAGATACCGATCGATGAACGTATCCAAAATTATACACCTCGATTGTGATGGATAAGTATACTAGCGTGCATGCCGGCAAGCGCCAGGATTCGGCACCCGATTTGGGACCCGAGCTCCGTACTTGTATGCCGTACTGTGGCTTCATTACTATTGAACCTACTCTGCCAAGCCCATTCTACATTGTTCAATCTCCCAAGGGCTAAACATAGAAAAGCCCCTCTCGCTTTTCATTTCACCTCACCAGCCACGCCAGAATATCTTCTCCAATACCCACCTACATTATCCCCTTTCCCCTTCCTCCCTCCCTCCCCCAGGCTCCAACAATCACATGGTTCCCAACAATAATCCAATAAAGAACCCAACCCCTGTGCCTGTACCTGTGCCTGTGCCACCACCGAACCAACTAGCCAGCCAGCTTCTGCAAGTGGGTCCCACCTCCTCGGCTCCACCGGGTCTCTTTCATAGTTTTTTTTTCTTTTCCCTCCCAGACGCCTCCCTCTCCAACCACCAACCGTGGCGTGGCGTGACGTGGCGTCGACATACCCCCCTTGACGAATGGTAATGGCATTTGGAGACTGTGGCAGGTTTCCCCGTCCCTCGGGCGCGTGGTCGTGGACACTAAGCCGTATTCGGACCTTAGTGTCGGCGTTAATTCCTGATTATATACCATACAGTCTATTACTGGTCCGTACAGGGAGTAAGATATACCCCGTCGTAGGCGACGCGTATCCATTGTATTGCAGGGTCGTCGTTCTAGTTCCGAGTCCTGAAAATAGCCGGGGGGGGTGAGCATCGTGGGTTGGGTTGTTCATTGGATGGATAATAATCTGGTGGTTCCCGCTGTCCTGTCTGGCTATTTGGGATGGATGGGGGGGTGTCTACGTGGAGGGGGTACGTAAGTAGGGACTACTATCTACTCCGTATGCCGTACGGAGTATGGTGGTGGGAATTTTCCCTTGCTTTTGTTTGTTTCTTTGGCTTTCTTTGTCGGCTTTCTTTTTGGGATCTTTTTCTTCTGGTGTGTGGTGGTGGTGGTTGCTTTTTATATACAGGAGGATTTATAGAGCTAAGGTGTGTTATGTGATGTTGTGGATCTGCTAACAACAGGTATGCTTAAAAATTGGTTGACTCCGTACTAAGTATCAAAATGATGAGGATCGGAGCGTATACGTAGTGATTCAACGTGGACAGCTCGAGCTAAGCATTATAGAACAAGTTCCTCCGTCATGCACCAGGTGTCAGATGCGCCACACGATCGTCTATCGTCAACCTCATGACGATTAGAGTACAGAGGAAGAACGCAATGTCGCTGAGGACTACTATGTAACCGGACAGTAGTGGCTTGCTGGCCATACCGATATCTGACATATCACGATCGGTCTGGCAGCATCTCGACTGCCATGTCAACCTGCACCTGCGCGGAATCACCGTGCTTTCTATTCATCAGGCCCGGCTTCAGCACGACGCAATAAACAATAAACATGAACAGCCAGTGCCGGATCGGGAGTGGGGATACCATCATGCTCCACAAAGGTATCCAATCAGGGTTGCGGCCACTACAATTCCAGAACTCCGACTGGGCGCAGCTAAACCTCTTCGGGCGCCATCGTACGTTGGCGGGGCTTGGCACACCCCACCCAACGAGGAAATGGAAAATGGGCGTGTAATGGGAGGAACGAACGGTGGCCAGCCTGAAGCATAACGCAGGGATCGCCAAACATGAGTGACCCCGGGGTCGCTGGCGGGCAAAAGACGAGGGAGCTGCCAATTGCGCTGCCCTTGTTTCGCCGCTCGCTTCTTATATCATCATCGCGGATCCTTCCCCTTCCCTACGTTCCCCGACTTCCCCTTCCATTCTTGTCGTTCGCGATTCGGGATCGTCCAGTTCATCCCTGTATACATCGGGTGGCCCTGCATTGACTGCTGGATCTTCTCGCCGCCTTGATTTCTTTTGCTTCTTCTTCTTCTTCTTCCGCCGACATTCCTTTTACCTTCCCGCTCATCCGATCGATCGATTCTTAATTTTTGGGATCAGCCTCAGCAAGTGATGTGAAGAATCCATGGTTGTCTATACTCGCATCTCCGGAGGCTCCGCGCCGTCCGTCATACTTGCCTGTGTGGCTCTGTTTTGCGCCTGTCTGCAAACCGTCATCGCCGAGATCGACTCGGTCTTTAAATCGGTGAGTTGCGTCGCGGCTTAGCGTCACTCCAGCTCCCTTGCACGCAATAGTAGCCAAGATGTTCGCCACCCGGATCGCTAACCTTGTCTCAACCTCCACCTTCAGCGACCTGATCTCTATCCTCCCGTGCTTACCTTGGAACATCGTGTGCCCGACAAGCTCAGCCCCGGGTACATCTTTGTCGGTCCCTATGAGGCGTCCAATTCGGGCCCGTATATTTATGACGATGAGGGGGTATGCTCTGATAATCTCTGCCCTAGTTGTCGGATCGAAGCGTTAACCATGATCGTAGAACCTAGTCTGGAGTGGCTGGGGCAACTCGGGCCCCGGAAATGCTCACGGCATGCACGTCTGCAAATACAAGGGGAAGGATCACTTGTGTTTCTTCCAGGGAGTCCAGCAGAATGGGTACTGCAGAGGTCATGGAGTAATCATGGATGACAACTACCGCATCGTCCGAACCGTAGTTCCTGGAGGTGGCATGGCATCCAGCGACATGCACGAATTCTTGCCGATCAATGACGGCAAGACCGCCTTGATGACGGTCTACCAACAACGTCAGTTCGACATGAGCCCGTGGAACGTCAAGTCCGGCATGGGATGGGTGATGGAGAGTATCTTCCAGGAAGTGGACGTGGAGACCAACGAGGTTCTGTTCGAGTGGAAGTCCCTCGACCATGTCGACCCCTCCGATGGCTACACCTGGCCAAGCCACACGGATACGTCGGGCACCGGGCTGGACCCGCGCTCGCCGTGGGATTACTTCCACATCAACTCGATCGACAAGAACGCAGACGGCGATTATCTGATCTCCTCCCGCCATACCTGTGCGATCTACAAGATCTCCGGCAAGGACGGATCGATCATCTGGCGACTGCACGGGGCGCGTCCCACGTTCAAGAACATCAACTTTAGCTTCTCGCAGCAACACGATGCGCGGTTCCTCAGTGAAAACTCCACCCACACCCTGCTGTCCTTGTACAACAATGGGTTCAATGGTTTCAACCGGACTCATGAGTACTCCTCCGGCATGCTCATTCTGATCGATCACCGAGACAACACAGCAACCCAGCTACACGACTATGTCCCCCCCGGCAAGAACATGATCAGCTCTAGCCAGGGTAACATGCAGGTCCTTGAGAACAAGAACGTGTTTATCGGGTGGGGCAACAACGCCTACGTGTCGGAGCACGACGAAGAGGGTAATGTATTGCTCTGGGGCTATATCGACAAGGACCGGATCATGAACTACCGTGCCCAGAAATTCGAGTGGGAGGGCAATCCCACCGACGTGCCGGCTCTGTGGACGTACTCGCAATCCACTGACACCTTCTCTCCGACGAGTTTCTATGTCAGCTGGAACGGTGCGACCCGGGTGAAGTACTGGCGGTTCTACGGCGCCACGAACTCGACGGGCCCCTTTATGCTCGTCAAGCAGGTCGAGAAACGCGGATTCGAGACCAGCTATTCCTCGCCGCATTTCTACCAATGGTGCTATGTCGAGGCGGTGGATGTGGCGGGCAAGGTCCTGGGCAAGTCCCGGACCATGTTTACCTTCATCCCCTCGACCGAATTGCAGAGCCACTGTGGAAAGGAATCGTGTGAGAATGCGCAGGCCTATGGACTGCCCGGAGAGGAGGGTGCTGGCCCCGTGATACCCCCGGCGGGCATCAACACTGTGCCCTGGATTGATCCTGGCCACCCTGAGGCGCACTTCGACTGGGGTCAAACCGGGGATGCGTCGGAGAAGGAGGAGAGCGGGTCCGGCACTCTGAGGACCGCATACGGTAAGCCATCCCAGCTAACCTGCAGTAAACAAGTCCCCGCTGACTGTGCCGTTATAGATAACGTTGGGTGGATCGCTCCCGCCTTTGGGTTTGTCGTTGCGATCGTTGCCATCTACACGGTCCTTCGGGTGTATCGACGTCAGCAGCAATTCAGCCGGGTGAAGGAGAGGGGGTCGTCGGAGAGCCTGGACAGGGCCGAGGGGTCCAGGCCCTGGCGAGGGTCGGATGAAGCACCGTGGTGGCATTGGCGACGCTGGACGGGGCCGCAGGAGCCTCCGCGGTACTTCCCATTGGCTGAACAGCGGAGTTCGTCCTGGCGACAGAGTGGGAATCATGCGCGATAGATCTAATATCTAATACACCACCTACTATATATACACCATTTGTGGCCACTTTATCCGACTTAACTATACACGGTATACACACGGTGCAATGTACCTGCTGACTAAGAGGCTCATGACGATACGATACCGGAGATCGATACGCGAGACGGTCATCGGATAACGATACACAAGGCCGAACGATACGTCACTGCGGCCACTGACTCGTGGGGACCGACGGATAGATGCGAGCAGTTCTCGGTTCAGTCTCGACGCCTCGAATTGCGTACTTGCGCTGAGCCTCTGACGCAGCCTGCATCGGTTCCAGCTGGCTGAGTCGGGGCCACTACGTAGTTTTTTTTTCCAAACGAGGCGGTCTTGACGCTCGGTCGGGCGCGTAACACGTCGCGCGTCAATCTGATGGTGGTGGCTCGATCGGAAAAGAACCTCCGGGCTGGTGTTTCACGGTAATGGCAGCAAAGTCTGGATGAGACGCTGGTGAGGGGGGTCTTTAAGCTGGGCGGGTCGGTTTCGAGTTAGTCTTCCGTCGATAGATAGGGGAAACGTCCAGAAAAAAAAATCATCGAAATTAAAATCGCGAACAGGGTAACGAGCGTGCCAAGACGCCAGTGCGCGGACGAGGAAAGGACGGAAGAGGCCGGCTGCAGCGGGTGGAGATGAGCGTCGCAAGCTCTGGGAAACACTGCCGATCGGTTTTCATACCATACATTGTGTCTCATTGTATTCAGTATCAGTATTCGTACTTCGTATGTAGTATTCAGGATCTGCCGAACTGGGCAGTTCTCCTGATGGTCTTGACTACTACTACTACTGCTACTACTACTACTACTACTATCTGACTTCTCACTTCTCGTCACTCATTCATACATTCTCTTCGCTTGAGATCCATCCGATCTCTAGTCAGCCCCTCTTCTCCTCTTTTCGTCACCTGTGCGTGGGCACCCTATCATAGTCCGCGCCGGACCAACGCTGCACCTCCAAATGCCTGCGCCAAAATCCGGATCCCAAGGAACCGCCGGGCGTCCGTCGCTACCGTCGCTATCGCTGTCCTCCACCAACCCGTCATCCTCGTCGGCCATCGACTCCCCAGCGGCCACGCCCAATCCCCTCTCGGCCACCTCGGCCTCCTTCGCCCACTCCTCCAAGAACCGGAATGCTCGTCACACCCGAGCAACCTCTTGGACCTCCGCCCACGACCAAAGCGGTCTCCCTTCCCCCGCTGACTTCTCCCTCTCCACCTCCCAACGCCGACGCCGAGAGTCCAACATCTCCCTCGCTGACGTCTCCGAGGGTTCCTCCGGCCGCTACGACGACGACGACGACGACGATTACACTGGCGACACCATGGCCGTGAGAAACACCTCCTTCGACTGGGGTCCTGGCCATGCCCGCAGCCGCTCCCAGTCCTACAGCCAGCCACAGATGTCCCTGCTACAACCTCGCGAACTCGCCGACTCGTCGGCACCGCGCTCGCGGCCGGCGCCCGTCACATGGATGTCCCTCCCGCGAAAGGGACAGCTCGCCCTCCTGGGCCTGTGCCGGGTCTTCGACTTTCTGCAAATCGCCTCCTTGCAGGCATACATGTTCTACCAGCTGAAATCGTTCGATGAGAACCTCTCCGACGCCGACGTTTCCACCCAGGCCGGGATCCTGCAGGGTGCCTTTACCGCGGCGCAGTTTGCGACAGCCATCCCTTGGGGTCGAGTGGCCGATGCAGAATGGGGTGGACGGAAATTTGTTCTGCTGGTTGGTCTGCTGGGCACGTCACTGTCCTGTCTGGGCGTGGCCTTTTCGACGTCGTTCGCGCAGGCCGTGTTCTGGCGCTCGTTTGGGGGTGCCATTAATGGGACCGTGGGGATTATTCGGACCATGATCGCAGAGAATGTGAAAGAGAAGAAGTACCACTCGCGCGCGTTTTTGATCCTCCCAATTGGCTTCAACATTGCCGCGCTGTTTGGGCCGGGTAGGTATTTTGCTTGCGATACTGGTTCTAGGCTAATCGTATACAGTGATGGGCGGTATGCTGGCTGACCCAGTCAAGGCGTATCCTCGCCTCTTTGGCCCAGATTCGTCTTTCGGAGGCGCAGACGGTGTACAATGGCTTGTCCGCTACCCTTACGCGTTGCCCATGCTGGCGAATACCATCTTTCTGTCATTTGCGGCTGCCTGTGTTGCCATCGGTTTGGAGGAGGTACGTATTTTGTTCGAGAGCTGGCTGTGCGCTGCTAATCTTTGCAGACTTTGGAAGCTTGTAAGGGCAAGCCCGGGTTGGGCGTCTTCTCGATGCGCATCTTCGCTCGCGGCATTCGCGCAGTGGTTCCCTCGTCCTCCCCGTTATACCACCGACTGCCTTTCGCGGACTATGATGAGGAAGGTCCTCTGTTGAACCGTCGAGATACCACCGAAAGTTACGAGATGGAGGAGAAGGCGACCAAGTCGACCCGTCAGTCTCGCACCCTGCCGTTCCGGCGGATCTGGACCAAGAACGTGCTGTGCACTCTGTTGGCACAGGCGTTCTTCGACTTTCAGATGGGGTAAGTTACACCTTGTTTACCGGGGGTCAAATGCTGACGGTCCAGTGCTTTTAACAACCTCTGGTTGCTCTTCCTCTCGACTCCCCGATATGACGCCAATGACCCCGCCAGTCCGATCCAGCGGCTGCCGTTTATTTTCACTGGCGGACTGGGCATGCTGCCCCAGAGTGTCGGTTTCGCTACCGCCATTCTCGGCGTGATCGGGATGCTCCTCCAGTTCACCATCTACCCCAGTATCAATGGCCGCCTGGGTACCGCCAAGAGCTACCAGTACTTCTTGACGCTGTTCCCCTTGGCTTACGCGTTTGCACCATACATTGCGCTCGCGCCGTCGTCCGCGCCCCCGCCCGGGCAGGCCAACGGAGGCTGGGTGTGGTTCTCGATCATTGTGGTCCTCTTCCTGCAAGTGACCGCGCGGACGTTCACGCTCCCGACTTCGATCATCCTGTTGAACAACTGTTCCCCCCACCCCTCGGTGCTGGGCACCATCCACGGCATCGGACAGTCGGTGTCGTCGGCCTTCCGCACCATTGGGCCGATCTTCTCCGGATCGTGGTACGGCTACGGTCTGGAGATGGGCATGGTAGGATTTGCGTGGTGGCTGATTGCGCTGGTGTCGGTGTTTGGCTGTGTGGCAGCCATCTTTGTATACGAGGGTTCCGGACATGAGATCTGTCTTCCCGGCGAGGAAGAGGAACTCCGGGACTGATTGCATTGGCGTTGCTTGTTTCTTGTACATATATCCCTGGACCATGCATAGCGGAGTCCGATGTTGCTTTTGTTTTTTTTTTTTTTTTTTTTTTTTTTTTTTTTTTTTTTTTTTTTTTTAATGTTGGGAATCGGTTGCTGTTATGAAAGGCAGGCTTCCGACAAGGAATAGATGCATCTAATAGAGTTGCTGTCATAA